GCAAACGAATGATTCTATCCCTCTGTTTATGCAGCCTAGAACTGGGTGGGCTTTTTTGGCAGCTGCTGCACACGGCTGGCTCATATTTAAATGGTTGTCCACTAGGACTCCAAGATCCCTTTCACAGTTACTACTGTTGCTTTTCAGGCAGGTGTCTCCAGATTCAATCATTTGCAGATACAGAAGGTTTGGGGGAATGTTTCAGGTGGTCTGTGGAGGCAGCCAGCATTAGGTCCAATCAAGTTACCTCCCCTGTTTTTAATGTAAACAGGATTGTCATTTTCAACTTGTCTTTCTTACAGACTACAATTAGGCTTCAACCAAACAGGGACAGGGCAGATATTCCTGAATATTCCTGATTCTGCTCTACCTGGGTCACTGATTACGATAACCTTGCAGGCCAGCTCTCTCAACTCCTCTGCAGATCCCGATTTTGCCCATATCGATCTTCTGGTGATGCCTCAACCTCCAGTGAGTCACGCCATGTTGAAGATGAGAGCTACTTGGATGGTTTGAGAGAGGTCCTTCATTTCTACCGAAAACAATTTTATGGGATCAGATAGGAGAGCCTTCTCATGTAGTACTCTGCCTTGAGCAGCGAAGATTAGTAGAGTCTGCTACAGAAGTTTAGCTCTGTTCTTAAGGACAGTGAGATGTTTGCCTGTTCTCAGAATCTGCTGCCTTTGGCAACATCAGAAAAGAGATGGAGAATATCCATCTTGTTAGGACATGCTTGATCTGTGCCGTTTGGGTGTTTCTTGACTCTCGCAGCTAGCTAAATGAATTAAGTGGTGGGTCCCACTCTAAGTGAGTGGATCCTTCTTGACGTCTTGAATTAAACACACAAGGGGTTCTTCTGGAACTAGAACCCACCACATCTGGAGGGCAACAAGTTGGGAAAGGTTGATGAACATCTGCTCACTTTTTATAGGATTTGGAGCCTAGGGAAATTCACAGGATACCCCACTGGGCTGCATGCATTCTTAAGCAATGCTGTAAACTAGCAATGTTTTTTTTTATCATATGGGCACCTGGCTTCGAATGATGCAATAAACCTGCATCTGCTTTTCCCAGGTGTATTATTTAAGACTACAATACTTAAATCAATTGACTATTCATGAACACTTGCCAGTCGCAGGGGTGTCAAACTCGGTTTCATTGAAGGCCGCATCAGGATTGTGTTTAACCTTGTGGGGCTGGGATGGGTGTGGCCAGGGGACATGGCCAGTTCAGCATCACTCATGTTGGCATCTGTGGTGGACAAGTGCTAAGGCAGTATTTCCTTCAGACCCTTCCTCACTCTCATTATAATCTCCTCCCTCCATTCCATCCATCCTTTTCTTGTTTTTCCTTCCCTCTTGATTCTAATTTCTTCTTCTGTTCCCTCTTTCCTTATTTTTCTCTTCCTCCTCTCTTCCCATCTTTTCTTCTTTTTCTTTCCTCTTTCCCTTTTTCCTTTCCTGTCCCTTTTTGCATGCTCAAATGGAAAAGGGGAAACATTTCTCCTTTCGTTTG